ACATCGTACTTCTGAACATAAACCAACTGAGTACTACCATATTTTTATTGATTTCTCTATATGTTTTACAATATGAAAAGTGATTGTCGCCAACTTTTTTTCTAAAGCTTTTTGATTAATACGGGTACATGTATACTTATCAGGAAACATTGTGCTTTTTCCATTTCTTTACGTTTCGGGTGGGACATAGGGATTCAACTTTTAGAATTTGAGGTTTTAATGCTACCTTAACACCAAACCTGGCCTGTTTTCCCTTCTTACCATCAACTAGACGAGGTCCAGGTGTTTTTATTGACTGAGAATCGAACCTCAGAAGTTGTATGTGACTAGCGCGAATTCTACCCATAACTTTATTATTGGCGGAGAATGCAATTTATTAATGAGAGCAATTTTAGTGTTAGTATTTTTTATGAGACTAACTGGGATTGTCTTGATCTGAGAGACTGTTATTCATCCAGTGGGGGATGGGTAAAGTTCATGCTGTGCGAACTTATGGCACTACAGGATTTAAACAGGTAGACGCAAAATTATTTAGCAATATTCTGTTAGGTCCAAAGCTCAGCAAGGCGTTTGGAGTAAACACAGCAGTCAGAAAAGAGTGCTTATTATCACCAATGATATTCCTAATTGTGGTGAAGTGACTGGATTATGCGTCAGACAGTGGGAAACGAGAAGACAGGAATATCCTGGACCGGCCGACGTGAAGAACCTAGAAGACCTGGATTTCGGGCGTGGATGATTTATGTTTGATGTCACAAAAAATTGAAGTCTTACAAACGTAACCTGACAAACTGGTCGAAGAAGCAGCCGGCGAAGACAGGACTCAAGGTGAACATAGACAAGACGGGGTGATGAAAATAACCAACTAACAACAAAAACAGCAGCAACATCAAGCGCCAATCACCATCAACGGGAGCGATTTGATAGAGGTTACTTCATTCACTCACCTATCTAGCATCGAGCATTGTCTCAACGACAGGAGGATGGGTGTCAAATCGAAAATCGAGAAGGCGAGAAACACATTCAACAACCTGAAACCAGTCTGAAAATCTTCGTCACTCAGCCAGCATCAACAACAAAATCCAGTCGGATTTTCAATACAAACGTGGTCAAGTCAGTCAGTTCTTCTATGCGGATCAGAAACTTGGCGGGTGGGTCACAAAGAATATTTCCAACAGCCTGTTGCGATGCAGACCTTTATCAACCAACAACTGTCTTCGCTGGATCTATACGGAAGATCAGATGGCCGAGCCGGAAAGAATCACCAGCAAGAAACTATAGCGGGGAACAAACAAAACAAGAACAAACCAATCGCCAGCCAACAAATGTGCAGGAGATGGATGGATTGGACACTCGCTGAGGAGACCGCCGCTGAGTGACGTCGCGCGCGCGTCAGGCCATTGGTCGAGTGGAACCAGGCCGAAAGGGAAGCGGCGAGATGGTCGTCAGTGCAAGGGTGACATGGAGGAGATCGTGTGAAGAGGAGTTGGTTAAAACAGTATGGACTAACATGGATGGACGCAGGTGAAAAGTAGAGCAGAAGACAGAATTGGCAAGTGGAGACGTGCAGTTGAAGCCGTATGTTCCACTAGGAACCCTAGGGAACAACAAATAATGCAATAATTATTACTGGTGGGCCTTTAAAATGCGTGGGTGTATTGATCATTTTTTAGAACAACGTAAATAGCTGATTAGAACAAAGTATGACTGGAGAAATTTGACTCATAGGGCTTCAGCATTATGGTTGCTTTTTAAAGGTTGGATGTGAAATACAACCTTGGAAGACTCGGTTAAATATGCCTAACTTTCTGACTTAGAGGGATGATGTTAACCTGTCATGTTTCCCTTACACTTATTTTCAGGTTAGTTTTTTTGTGTTGACTGATTATGTTGGACTGCAATTTTTTCTGATCACTGTTGGTATGTTGGTTAGTGGATATTGCTTTGACATATGAAATCTTGGTTATAAGGTTCGAATCCTAATGGAAACACCAACACTCATGACAAATGAATTTACACCGGGATGTTGAACCCCAAATAGGGGTAAAGGGCGCATTTGGATCCCTCTCTTAGTCACAACTAACAAAAACAACCTTCCTTTTTATTTAATTTAATTTTAGATTTTGCTGTCGACTGATTGAACCTAGTTGCTTGACACCGAGCAATTCGGTCCAAACAATCGACAGGAAAATGTAAAAATGAATAAAATAATTAATATGACCCGTTGCACAAGAGGTGGCTCTCGTGGCCCAGGTGGTTTAGTGAATAACGCTTTGGCGGTGTTTGAAACTATGGGCACTGGGTTCGAGCCTCGGTGGTGGGGAAATCATCACTCACTGCGGAATAGAAGCACATCCAGATGACGAGTCTCAAACAGGACAAGCGAAATGCGCATTCTGGATTCCACTGCTAGTCACTATCCACTAGTTAACTTCCTTTTTTTCTTCTTATACTAATAAACGGAAAAGGCTCGCATATGTATGGCCAATACAGTTCTCTTCAAAGGGGATGTCTATTTTGTTTTTACATATAAAGAGAACAGTTTATGTTGTAGAAAAATCGGCAGGTTTTTTTGATGTGATTGTGTTCTCTGACCTGGATGGTTTATTTGGGAAACTTTCATTACCTCACTAGGCCACATCTTCAGCACGTACTTCAATTTGTTGAAGAGAGCTTCTAGTTTTCTTCACGAGTTTATTAGTCACTTCTCCTGGTGACCACCTTGAACGTGATTGGTTGTTCCTGTGTGTTTTCTCATCCTCTACGTTACTTGTATTGGAACTGATTGTTTCCTTAACTCGTAGTTTGACCGCTTTTGTGTGAGCTGATTCTCTAACCGATGTCAGCTCATGATGAAATCCTACAACCAAGCAAACAAAATCCCTACTAACTAATACTTGAAAAATGATCTGAAGCTCACTAGCGAATGACCTTATTCAGGTAGGTAGTTACCTGGGGTTCTAGTGGGAAGTCGTGAACATTAAGGTGCGGCAGGTTGGGTGTGAGGACAAATACTCGCCAAAGACATAGGCTAGCTGTCGCGCTATGTTGTGAATTGGCAGAAGTTGGAGTTCATGGAGACTGGATCGGGCCCCAATATCTTAAAGATCTACTAGCTTGCCTTGCAACCAAAAGGTCCTGAGTTCGGACCCTTGGTGAGTGTGTCCTGCTGAAAAGTTCCATAACAGGATGAAGCGGCTGTCCACTACTCCCAGGTTTTCAATGGTTCTCAAACCGTTGCCAGCTCATGATGAAATCCTCCAACTGGTCCAATAATCCTTACTTCTATCGATTCGATATATATATATATATATATATATATATATATATGCACAGCTAATGACGTTAGCGAGTATTTGTCCTTACATCCAACTTGGTGGACTCAGCTGTTCAAAACTTCCACTTCACCCTTCCGACTTCATCTTGTCGTCAGTCACTAATGAGCACTAGATTAACTTTTAAGTGTTAGTATGCAGAGTTTTCATTGTTTTTTCAAGATTGGTCACAATCTGACCTCAATTAGACAACCTCTAAAAATTAGACAGTACTGTAATCATAAACGCCCTGAGTTTGTTCTCCAGTGTGGTCATTGTCTGTATAGCTGAAGAGTTTCGAACAAGGACGAAACGGCTGTCCAGTATTTAATGGTTTTCAGTCGCTCTCTAAGTGAAGTAAGCCAGCCAATCAATCGAATCCCTGCAAACCAACACATGAAGTTACTTAATTGAATTATCATAGATTACAGGTCGAATTTAATGAGAATAAACCAAGTGAAAATATACAGTGCGTAATGAGCGAAATTAAAGGGATATCTGGGTCAGAACAGATACAAAACTAGTGACCCGCAGTTTTGTAATCTGGGATAGTAGCCTGTCAGTTTAAAGAACAGGTTAGAGTTCATCAGCCACTGTGATCCATCTCAGTAGCAGAATAGCTGAAGGGCTTGACTCATAATTATTCTCTCTATGCACTTACCAATAAATTACTTTTTAGAATTTTGACTCGTTCCCAACCTGTTGTGTGGTTGTGTGTTAATGTATGCAGTGTGATCGTTGAGTTTTTCCTAAATTATTTGTCTTTATTAGATCAATCGTTCTAAACTTTGCTAAATTCTTGTGTTCTGATAATCTGAATACCCCGATATACTAGTGTGTTTAATTGGGTCTACCGGGTCCTTAAGCCTACAGAGTTTGTCTCTGAGTGAGGTTTAAATGCCAGCCTTATTCCGGTTTTATTGAAAATCCTACATAGGGCACCAGATGTCCTCTCCTCATTTGGCCAAAGTGCAGATGCTTTACATTCGTCCTTATTTATGCTATCATTATTAGTTTCCCCATTATTTTTGTTTTACTATTGACTTTTCTTACCTTCCTAATGAGTTTTATAAGATAGTTATTTAACACCAATCAGCTATTCTTTTGTCTGTTTCACTGAATCACTTAGGTTTTTTGTTGTACTACATAGAACTATTGGTCGGTCTGTTAGACATTTAACTAAGCCTGCCTTCACAAATAACGACAGATGAGATGAATTAAAGTCTAAATATCCATTAGCAGAATGCCTTGCCTATTTATAAACGTTAGTGTGCAGTTTACCTGCTTCTGTTCGTTTTATTTCACAGTCTTACAGCATAGCTAATTTTCCTTGTTCATTTGCCGATACAAATATAAAATTTTTTTATTAGCTGTCCACTGTCTTTACACTAATACACCAATCAATAAGGCTTGCCTGGTAACCTGAAGCTACTGAACTCCACCACTAGTGTTAGGCTCATGGGTGAGTACACCTGAAGGGGCCCTAACAAGAATAAAACACCTATCCAGTACCCTGTGGTTCTCAATGGTTTCCTTAGTGATGTGAGTTTATAATGTAACTTGAAGTATCCTACTAACTCTTTTACTTAAGTATCATGTTTATATATTGAAATAAATAACAAAGTGAGTTTTTAAAATTTATTTTATCTTTTCTGTTGTTGTCTTTCTTCTCTCTCTCTCTTTTAGTATTCATGATGTTTCTAGTTGTTCGTTTATGGATTCATGTAATGAGTTTAAAACATGCTTATTGGTGGAGAAGTGATCTCTTTTCACAAAGTCATCTTTTAAGTCATTTAACATTTCTACTTATCCTGTTCATTTGTTTATTCATTTTGGTAAGTCAATAAAGATTTGTAAAAAAATATTTCTCTGTGTAGTTCATTTTTGTAATTTTACGTTTGTTTGTTGTAGGCCATGAACTGTCTGATTCATTGAGTTATAGGTTTCGACTATGTACCATTTTCGTGAAGTTTGAGTAGTCAGGTAGCGCAGTTCACCTTCACGGCATATATATATATATATATATATATATATATGCATATGCAGAAGCGTGTGATATTGTGGTGAGAGCAAGCCGCTAGCCAATTGGTAGACAATAATTTACATCATTGTCCATGTCGCTAATATTGGCTCTGAGAAAATATGAACAAGACTTATTCAACAACCAATCACAGCAGACTTAACGTGGGCAAATACCATTCACAGATATATGGCTTAACTTTTTGAGAAACCAGTCACAAGCAGTACAGAATAACCTTGAGCAAGAAACAGCCAATCAGAAGACTGTGTTTTTCTGCTTGAATAAGCAACAATAGTGTACATGAAATATATAGAAATACGTGCTGATTTCCTTAATAAATGATCTGCTGCCTGGCTCTTGTCTTCTCTTGTTATTATATCAGTCAGCAGTCTACTCAGGGTGTGTCCGATCGATCTACATTCCCCTTCTAAAATTTTTCCGTGTAATAGGCTGTTATCTATGAGTTTTCTGTGGGAGTTCCTTGGTGTTAATACTTCCTCGCCAACCATCCTCTCATCGGTTGTGAAGCTAGAAGAATTGTTGATGAAAGTTTGTAGTGGCCTATTGGAAGTGCTTCTAGTGACATGTGCATCAAGTCTTTGAAACATATAGATACACCGATTTTAATTCATGGATAGTCCCCATTCAGGCATTAATGAAAACAAAACACGTAGTTTAGCGAAGAGTCTCTTTTCAGCGGAGAATTCCCTTTCTTAACTGTACAATCGTAAATATTTACATGTATTATTTTGTATGTATGTGTACATTAATTTTGTCAAACAAAAATACCATTGGTTATGGTTATTTTAACTAAACAGGGGAAGATTGGTAATTGGAGTTACGTAATCCAAAATCAGTCAAGAAAATTAGGTGTTAATGAAATTAGGGTAGTAACAATGTTGATGAGTTGTCATAATCAGTTGTTAAAAAAGAAGTTATGTAATAATATGAATAGTTTGGTGATTGAGGTTTAATCAGAATACACATAGGGACAAAGCAGAGAATATGAAATTGCGTAAGAGTTGTAAATGAAAACAAGAATTATAAGCAATTAAAGAACAGGCAAACCAAAAAACTAAGCCATCAAAATCAACAAAATTGTTACTATGACAGTAGAAGTGGTTGAGTAATTATTCTCTTTTGTATGCACAGCTTTGGTCTTTCTATGTGAATAGCCAGAGCTTCAGCGATACAGAGAAGACGAAACCGTATTGCCTTTGATAGGTTATTCTTGACTCTGTAGATTACTTTGAAGCAGGAGGCGTTTGTTGAGATGGAATGAGCAGTGTTAACCAAGTGTTCAGTTATCGCACTCCTTCTTGCACCATTATTACCTTTTCGCAACCAACCATGCTGGATAGTGTTATTGAATCCTCTTGTTTACGGTGCACGTTGAACGACCAATATACGTGGCACCTTTTCAGATGCAGGATCTTGTATTTGAGGCTCCTGTAGATCAGTGGGCGAATGGAGAACACTATTCTTAGTGTTGCTGCAAAGAATATACACATGCATACAAAATAACACATATGTATATATTTGCGATTGTACAGCTAAGAAAATGAATTCTTCAAAAAGAGACTCTTCGCTGAACTACGTGTTTTCCTTTCATTAACTCACTGATTTGACATTTGTGCTGTTGAAAATCCGATTCTCATTGTTTATGCTGAAGTGCAGTAGATTTCAACACTGATCTTGCTTTCATAACCCTTTCTTGTTCTAACATTCTCATCTGTACCGTAAGTTGTTGAAAGGATGCTGACTGGACACATAAAGGTGTAAGTGGCATAACAATGAACTTGATTACTGTACTAAATATCAGAAACACATGACAAAGTAAACGGAAAAGGACTACTACTTGCTACCTGTAAACAATAAGCCACTTTATAAATGACTACTATTCAAGGGCGATATGCCAAGTGAGATAATTACGAGGAAATTAGGAAAATCAGTTCAAAGAACATTTAATGCTGGAGAACTACACGTCTTATTCTCTACCTTGATTGTAAGATGAAGTACCCAGACTAGCCACTTCTATCTGTACGTACCAATTGAACTGTGCTTGTGGAGCAAGTTATATTGGCTGTTGATCTAGGAACTTGATTTTTCATGCTCACTCGACAACATCTCCCAGTATGGCTAAGTAAAGGTGTAGTTAAAACCATTAACAGTTCTATATTAGACCAGCTGTTGCAAACCGGCCACAAAGCCAACCAACGTGGAAGAATCCTCCTCTATTACCTACCGGGTGACTAATAAATTGTCAAAATCATCGACGTACCGCATGCTCCAAACACCAGAGGCTATTGCAATTTGCCTCAAACAACCAATGTTCTGTGTTCAAAAGAAGTAAGTCCAGCTAGCCCCTACTACTGCCCTGGCCGGCCTCCAGTAGAGACTGTAAATTAATGAATTTGTAATATTATGTTTCCTAATTTTTCTGACATTCAGCTTATTTTATTTTGATGCTATTGAGCTGTAATCTATTGATATTATTGATTCGATGTTATTTAAACAGCAACTTTAATGTTGTTCATAACACTAATTCATTTATTCACTATAATGTGTATATAACTGTAGAGCCTGATGATGAAGTTATCGAAAAGAGTATTCCTTTTTTCAGTATCCATTCTTTTGAAAACTTTTAATGGACATTTTTAATCAGTTGAAATATTAAAACAGTGTATCATCGATATAGGGATAAATGATTTATAAAAGTTAGTAGTTATTTCAAAATGCACCTATAGTCTATTGCTACAAATTAATAATATGATCCACAGATCCGTTTCACTACTTGATTCGTGTCCACCGGTAGGAGTTGTTCACTGATTTCTGAACAAACTTCGGACAAGGATGAGATGTTTTTCTTCTAATTCTAAAGAATACAACATGGATATTAACAGAGCAAGAGGACAGAAGGAAGCAGTGAAAAGAGGAAGTGACCTGCAGCACGTCTATATTCCCATCCAAACTGCAAAATTTTCATTATTTGACAAAGAATTCGATTAAACAGAAATTCTATACAATATGTCCATTTTTGACATTTAGCAAAAGTTGTACAGATTTTTTTAAATTTGGGTCTCCACAAAGGAAGTGATCTCCCTCATATTTCTCCCTTTAATAGTGACTGGTTGTTGTTTTTGTTGACCTGTTTTCCGGATGGCTTCGTCACCTCAGTTATTTCTACGGTCACTTGAAATCTTGTCTTCTCTGACTACCTCTTCTGCCAACATTGTGGTTTTTCAAAATAATGGATACTGAACAAAGAGTACTCTTTCCGATAACCTCTTCTTCATCAGGCTCTACAGTTATATATACATCATAGTGAACAATATTAATTTCGTTTAAATAACATCGAATTAACAATATAGATAGATTATAGCTCAATAGCATCAACATAAAATAAGCTGAATGTCAGAAAAATTAGGAAAGATAATATTACAAATTCATTCATTTACAGTGTCTACTGAAGACCGGCCAGGGCAGTAGTAGGGGCTAGCTGGACTTACTTCTTTTGAACACGGAGCACTGGTTGTTTGAGGCAAATTGCAATAGCCTCTGGTGTTTGGAGCATGTGGTGCTTCGATGATTTTGGTAATTTATTAGTCACCCGGTAGATTATAGAGAAAGATTCTTACACACTGACTGGCTTTGTGGTCGGTTTGTACCAGATGGTCTAATATCGAACTGTGAATGGTTTTAACTATACTTTTACTTAGCCATACTGGGAGATGTTGTCGAGTGAGCAAGAGTTCCTAGAGTAACGGCCAATATAACTCGCTGGCCTGTGATGTGTAGACCACTAAATTTGTGCAACATTAAACATGATTAACCCGTGTACTTCCTGTCCATCCAACATATTCCTGTCTTCTCACATGCTTCAGTCGACCTAATGATCCAGTCAGCCACAATCAGTAATGTTATCAGTGATGGTGAGCAGTCTTTTCTTCTTCCTATATTCACTTCAAAGGCTTCGCCGAAATCTCCATATTAGAACACGCTTTACACATAGAGTCGTCATATAGCTGCACTTTGTATCATTTAGATGGTTTCCAGTTTACTTCATGGTCAGCGCTTTCGAATACCTTTCCAAAGTCGATGAAGTGAAGGTCAAGATTTGACTTCCATTCTCTGCTCTGCTCTGCTCTTTTATAATGCCTAGAGTTGCAGTGTGTTCTGCACTTGATTTACCTTCCCCTGAATCCAGGTTGTTCCGGGAGGATTTTTGTGTGAAAAGCTTCTTTTACTATGGTGTGGCTAATTATTCTTCCCATAAGCTGACAGAAGTTAGAATACCAAGACCATGCTGAGGACATTTTCCTGGTAATCCGAAGACGCTTGGTTCAATAATGATTGCATTGGTGAATATATGCTTATTAAAGAGTCTAAAATTAGAATGAAACTTCTGTCCACTAAACTACTGTTTTCACTGATTCTTTAACCGATATCTACTTGTAACGATATTTACCCTGAATTCAATTCAGTATCCAAAGATACAACTACTAGGAACAGGATTATTCTCTCTCTATCAGTGCATGTTTGCCTAGGAAGCACTGTTTCAACTACAGGCGACAGCTCAGATGAAGTTGTCAAAACCAGCCAAGATCGGAAAGGCAAGAGACACCTTCATCAAAATGAAATCAATTTGGAAGTCTTTCACACTCAGCGACATAAAGAACAAGATTTGAATTCTCAACACATATTGGAAATAAGTCTATTCACCCATATTAGAGATAACAAACTTAGAGGGCTACTACGGACTTTTATCAATAGCTGACTACTCTGGCTCCATATTAAAGATCAAATAGCAGACCA